CTTTGTGACTAAATGAAGCATGGCTTTCTGGCCCATACCAGTTTCAGAGTCTTCTATCCTGGAGAGTAATTCAATTATCTCCCAGGACAGACACAAGACTCCATTAAGCACATGGTTGCAAAAAGACACAAAGACAGTAAAACACTTTAAAATACATAAAGTTACATTTTACACATAACACACAGACATGTAACATATCCCCAGATAGCTCAGGTCCGAGCGCACATTATTAAGTGAGTGGCGCTCAGACCACACGAATACAGTTTAATCGCCATGGAGCCAAAGTCTTTACAGTCAGTTTCATATGAATGGGCTCCATGGGATTCCTATCTGGGGTATAACACATTCAAACAAATCTACCGAACCCCAGGCAGAAAAGCACGAATGAAGCTTTTCTGCAGGTAAAAAAGATGTCTTTTAACAGGGGGCCATAGTCCAGGGGCAGCAGGCGGGCAACCAGGCTTCTCCAATGCAATGTGGCGAGATAGGTCTCGTCACACCCTGTTAGTCTGTTTGGAAAAGGGGAGAGATGTGACGAGACCAATCTCGCCACTGTGCATTGGAGGAGCCTGGTTGCCCACCTGCTGCCTTTAGACTATGGCTCCATGTTGAAACGCTTGATTTTCCCCTGCAGAGACACGAAAGCCGGGTCATTCAGTGCTGGTCCTGTTTGAGCGGTGATACCCCAGATAGCTATGCCATGGTGCCCATTCGTATAACGAAAGACTATGGGAAAGACTTTGGCTCCATGGCAATTGAACTGTATATGTGTGCTCTGAGCGCCATTCAGTAATAATGTGCGCTCAGATCTGAGCTATCTGGGGATATGTTGAATGTACCTGTTTTGTTCAATGGCTGCACAGTTATATGTTTTTATGTATTTTATTGTCTTTTGCTGCCATGTGTTCAATGGAGTTTTGCCTCTGTCCTTGGAGATAATTGGATTACTTCCCAATTATCTCCAGGATAGAAGACTCTGTGGAACTGATTTTGGGCAGAAAAGCCATGCTTCCTTTGGTCACAAAGGACTACGATCTATCTTTTGAACCACTGGACCAATTTGTATGATTTTGACGTATGTTTGTATTTGGAGTATGCTGATTCTGAAAAAATGTTATGTGAATGTGATGCATACTTTTCAAGTTATGAATAATGTGGAAAAATTGTATTTCTCTGCTTGTGATAATTACATTACCCATTGTGTAAGGTAATTGTATCACAGGCAGAGGGGAGGATTTTGTGTGGGAGTGTCTGAGTGTATTGTATGTGTTTATTGGTTGTGTTCCAAAACCCTGTGGGTGGTACTAATGTGTATATAAAAACAATAAACCCACAGCTCTGGCTGTTCACTGCTTGACCCTCAAAACAGAGCCTTGTCTCATTCTTGGGGGGATTTATTGTATGCTGTTCCAGCTTGACTGCTAGGAGTGTAAACCTATTCATTTAGTTTTTCCTATTCGGCTGTTTACGGCATTCATATGGTTCCTTGTTCGGCGGATTGGTGTTCTGCAGTAGCTGTGCCTGTGTCTCTGGAAGGGAAGATCTACTAAACAGCGGTTTAACCCTTTAATGCCTGAGGGTGCCATTACAGGTATCCTCTCTCCTCTCTGCTATTTCACCCTACTCCACCTCCTGCGTTCCCTGACGTCCCTTCCGTTCCCGATCCTTCTCCTCCTCCTCCTCCTCCTCCTCTTCCTGCTGACCTGTCTCCTCTCTTCTCTGTCCTCTCGGCCTTAACCCATCCTACTACCCCTATTCCTCCCACTACGTCTTCCGATCCTCCTCCTCCTCTTCCCGCTGACCTGTCTCCTCTCTTCTCTGTCCTCTCGGCCTTAACCCATCCTACTACCCCTTCTCCTCCCACTACGTCCTCTTATCCTCCTCCTCCCATTGATCTGTCCCTTCTTCTCTCTGCCCTCTCAACCCTAACCCATCCCACTACCTCCCATCCCTCTGCCCCTACTCCTCCTGCTACACCCTCTGATGTTCTTCCTAGTATCCCACCGGCCGATCTGTCATCATTGCTCTCCACCTCTAAGTCCCAGCCCTCTTTCCCTGCCCCCTCCGCTTCATCTTCTCTCGCCCCATGTACCCTTGGTCCCTCCGACCCTGTCCGCTCACCTGTCGCGTCCAACCCAGCCTGCCCCTACCTCCGCCTCCTCCATGCCCCTGGCCCCGTACACCCGTGAGACAAAACCCAGTTATCCACTCATGGTGGTCAGTTCTGATGAGTTTGCCACTTTGGGCCAGCACTATGCAATGGGTGTCTATCTGGCAGCCTCAGGCTTCCATCCTACCATGTCACAGTTGGGCAGCCCACATAACCTTGTTACTGCCTTCCCGAACCAGGCCCCTGCTATCCCGGCCGCTCCGGCCCCAGCCTCCCCTGATGTTGCTTCCTATCAAGAGGGTCCCATTGCTCCCGGGGATGACGATGTAGAAGAGTGTGGCCCGCTCCGCTCTCAGGATAATAGACCCCCACAGAGACAGGCTCTCCATGTACCCCCAGTTACCGAAGGTGCTCCACCCATGTATGTCACGTTCAACCCCTCGCAAGCTGCTACTTTGGTCACTTCCCTCCCCGATCCAGAGAAACAACCAATGCCCTTCTTCCGCAGAATGGCTCAGATCCGTAAAACATACTCCGCTGGTTGGCAGGATCTTTATAGTCTGTGTGAAATTAAAGCTGGTGATGCCTATTGGCCGATAATGGCGAGGAGTTTCACTGACGCTCCTCTTACTACTGACACGGACTTCCAGTCTGGTATTACTTTCTGTGAACAACTTCGTGCTTGGGCACAAGACAAATTGGCTGACCAAGCCACATGTATAAATGATATTGTTCAGGACAAACTTGAGTCTGTTGAGAAATACCATTAACGACTAACCCAAACCTTTTCAGATTTAGGGTTTAGTACATATAATAAAGCACATACCCAGATGTTGTCCGCCTCCTTTGTAGCTGGTTTGAGAGATCACATACGTAAGTGCTTAATCCTCTCCCGTCCTGAGTATCGAATAATCCCTCTGGACACCCTTTTGTTGGTAGCTAAGGGTCTAGAGTCAGTGTCTCAGCCTGTACAGAGAAGAGCTAGCCCACTGATGCTCCTATTGCTGGGACTGCCCAAGCTACCCCGGGTTATACTGTACCACAAGCCACGGTTCCTACTCGGAATCAGCCATCAGCAGCCAGAACCTGTTATAACTGTCATCAGGTTGGCCACTTTCAAAGAGATTGTCCCCATCCAAGATTACACAGGTCACTGCTCCCCCGGTATTCTAATCCTTCAGCTACCGCTTATGGATATTTCCCTCCAGGATACTTTCAGTCACCGCCTCCTCCCCCGGTTCCATACTTCCCACCTCCCGAGTATTCTCAGGCTCCGCCACCACCTCCAGATGCCCGTACTTATCCTCCAGTTCCTGCTGACGGGTTTGATACTGAAGGTTTCCAGGAGAATCGCCCTGTATATAGGGAAAACCGTACTACTCGTCCCGCTCCCCAGGCTAGTCTCCCTACCACTTCTGCACGTCTCTACACTGGCCCCGACCAGGCCCATTTAGATTTATTACAATAGGTAGCCGGCAAGCCTGTGTCTGATACCCCTGCCATGGCAGTGTCTACAGGGGATGGGGGAGGGCCTCTCGCCACAGTTATCCTGCCCGTTAAGAGTCATCCCACTACCTTCTTAGTTGACACAGGTGCAGCCCGCAGTGTTCTTAGAGAACAAGACCTGCCAGACCCATCCTACCTGTCAGACACCGATGTATCCTGCGTAGGTATTGACGGTTCTCCCCGCAGTAATCCACTAACTAATCTCCTACGTATGGGTTCTGATATCCTTTCACGATTTGTTGTTTCCTCCACCTGTCCCATTAACCTTTTTGGGTGCTGATGTCCTGTCCTGCCTTCAAGCCTCAATCACTTTCACTGCAGATGATCAGGTCCAATTACTCACACCCCTGTCACGAAAAGACACTTCTGTCCTCTGTTCCCTACCCTTATTGCTACATCTCTCATCTCCAGTAGGGGAATCAATGGTCACGGATACCCCCAGTGCTCTGGACAGAATCCCTGCCAAACTTTGGTCTATAGGCCCAGATGACATGGGCCTCCTAAAAGTTCCACCAGTCGTGGAAGACCTCAGTATCCGTTGAAACCTGCACAGGCCTTCGCCATCTCCAAGCAAGTTGACAGCCTCCTGGCCAAAGGTCATCAAATGTGTTTCCTGTCAAGAAGAAAACTGAAAAGGGCCAACCAGACCAGTACTGCATGGTCCAGGATCTGCGTGCCGTTAATGATGTCACCATCAAAGACACCGCTGTTGTCTCCAATCCACACACCCTGTTGTCACAGGTTCCACCCACAGCCAAGTTCTTCACTGTGGTCGACCTTGCTAATGCCTTCTTCAGCTTGCCTCTGGATCCGTCCTGCCAGCATCTCTTTGCGTTTACTCATGACTGCCAACAGTATACATGGACTATCATGCCTCAGGGGGCACGGAGTTCTCCTACTCAGTTTGCAAGGGCCACGTCCATGGTCCTGGAACCCTGGCAAAAGGTTCACACAGACGTGGTCTTGCTCCAGTATGTTGATGACCTACTTCTCTGCGCTGCTGACCTTCCAACTGCAGAGCGCATTTCCGAAGATCTTCTATGCTTTCTGGCTGAAGAAGGTTGTAAAGTCTCTAAATCCAAACTCCAGTGGTGCCGGCCCTCTGTGGTCTTTTTGGGACACTGCCTCTCCCATGGCACCCATCATCTTATCAGGAATACAATTCTTGCTATTTTAAATCTGCACGCCCATCTACTCGTCAGATTCTACATACCTTTTTCGGCCTCATTACGTATTGCAGATCCTGGATTCCTGAAGCTTCCCAGCTTATGCAACCACTATATGACGCTTTGAAGAGCGACCCGTTCTCACTTTCACCTCATGCACTAGCCTGCTTCTCAGCCCTGCAAAAGGCAATTTCTTCCACACCTGCTTTGGGCCTACCCAACTACCAATTGCCTTTCAAACTGTTTGTTTCAGAAAAGATGGGCCATGCTTCAGGGGTCCTTACACAATCCCATGGTTCCAGACAGAGACCCATTGGCTATTTTTCCTACATGCTCGACCCTGTTGCCAGAAGTAGTCCTTCCTGCCTGCGGGCAGTGTTTGCTGCTAGTGCTAGTGCTTTATTGGACAAGACCAATGACTTCATCCTTGGGCATTCTCTGACTGTTCTTGCTCCACATGACATTTCTGCCATCTTGCGACAAGTCCAACCAAAGCACCTTTCCTCCCAATGCCATCTCCGTCTGCAAACCTCTTTACTGCTGCCTGACAATGTGACCCTTCAAAGATGTTACTCCTTGAACCCGACCACTCTTCTGCTACTTCCCAAAGGGGGAGTGGCTCAGTATTGGTACAGCTTGGACATCAATCCAGATGTCCGGATGGAGTTTCAATTACCCACTCCTGCAGCTCCACATAACGTGCAACCGGAGTACTTGTTACATTGTAAGGAAGCAGCACGGCAAGGGTGGAAACCCTGCCCACAGACCTCAGACTCTTGAAAGAACAGCAAGCCGCAGAAACCCCTCAAGAAAAACAAAGCTGGAAGAACAGATGGGCAATCCTTCGAAATGATGTCTATACCATTAACCTCAAGTTTTGTTTACCCAAAAACATGTACCCAGCTGTTGTCCAGTGGGCCCATGGACCAGCCCACTTGTCTAAACATCTGATGAACTCCCTAATTGATAAATACTTTGAGGCACCAGGCATTACTACCCTGACACAGAACTATTGCAGATCCTGTACGATTTGTGCCAAATGTAACCCTGGAAAGATTACCAAAGCTGCTCCTAATCACCTGGCCAAACAACAGTATTCCTTCCAGAGAATACAGATTGATCATATCCAGATGCCGAAGAGCGGTCGATATGAGTATGCATTAGTCATTGTGGACATGTTCTCAGGATGGCCAGAAGCCTTCCCAGTTGCTAATCTTACTGCGAAGACCACAGCAAAGCACCTCCTTACAGAAATTGTCTGCTGATATGGAGTTCCAGAAGTGATTGAAAGTGACCAAGGAACTTCCTTTACCGCTCTGTTGACACGGGAAGTCTGGGCAGCACTAGGGGTGACCCTTGCCTTCCACACACCATATCATCCACAGAGTAGCGGTAAGGTAGAACGCATGAATGGCACGTTGAAAGCCAGAATGCTTAAAATGTCCCAGGAGACCAATATGCCCTGGCCCTAGCACTGTTCAGCGTACGATAGGGGGAAGTTCAGTCTATCTCCCTACGAGATTTTGTTCGGTACAGCACCAAGGTTAGGTTGTTATTTTCCCCAACAGCTTCAGATTCAGTCAGATGCTATGGTAGACTATGTAACTGCTCTCTCTCATGCCTTGACCAAAATCCATGCCCAAGTATTTTCTTCTATTCCAGATCCTGAGTCGAATACAGGTACTCACAAGTTGCTCCCTGGGTTATGGTCAAGAAATTCCTTAGGAAACATACTCTCGAACCAAGATTCGATGGTCCTTATCAAGTGCTACTGATCACGGCCACCTCAGTAAAGTTGGCCAGAAAGAGTTCCTGGATACACGCCTCACATTGCAAGAAAGTGCCTGCTCCAGAGGAAGCCACGTCCGCTGAATCATGAGCTTCCTGTGTTTTCTTTTGCTGCTAGGCCTTGTAGAGGCCCAACAAGTCGCTATAACTAAAGATAATGATGTTTACACGTTCTGGTACAATTCCTCAAACACACATGTGGCTACGTTTACCTTTGATTATTGTGATATTGTTTCTTGTACTTTTCCACAAACACAACACTCTGCCATATACAGAGACATACCTAACAGTAATGTCTGTGTTTCTTGGGGTCGCTGGGGACATTATTGTAGTTCTTGGAAAGCGGCTGGGTGGAATACTGGTAGACCATGGGGCTATAAGCCCCAATGTGCCTTGGACAGAGTTGACAGAAATGGGAAGCCCTTGTTATATAGAATGACCTTGAGTAAACCTACAGGGTCAACCCCAATAAAGCTCACTTTAAATATAGAGCATCCCAGTCCAGGAGATGCTGGGGAGTATGTAATGGGTATGTACTGGAAGTGCGGTGGCTCATACAATAAGTTGGGGACATTCATCCTACAAGACATGCTCACTTCTCCTGACTGGGTAGGCACAACCCACATGACCATCAACCCACTCAAACCTCATATTAAAACTTTACATGACATGGTTGCTATTGCTAACCCTACTTTTGAGGACACCATGGCAGTGGAAACTGGGTTCTCAGACACTAACTTGTGGCTAGAATGGTTGAGATACAATGCTAATTCACACAACAAGACTAACTGTTATGTATGTGGTGGGGCTAGACCCTATTTGGGTACAGTGCCTCTCAATCTACCTCCTGATGTGTGAACTGTGTGTTCTAAGTCTCTATGCACAATCAGCCACTAATTCCTCGACATGTGAATCATGGAAAAAGGTGTATCCCATTACCCAGGGAAACACTAGACCACCTGATGGAGTCACAGTATCCCGAGGTAATTACACTTGTTACTCAGTGCCCCAAAACACTGGTAAGTTCATGGGCAAGTTTCCATCCGGCTATTGTTCCACCTACCACGACCCACCTATGATATTATTAGTAAATCATGTTAAAACAGTTAGGGACATATATTGGCAATTAAGATCCCAATTAACTGGTCTATGGTGGGGGGAGTGCACCCTGGCC